CAATCAAAGACTTTGATGGAGGACTTGCGACTAAAAGTTATGTGGATAAAGGGTGATAGATGATGTCAAAAGAAAGATGAGTCTCCTCTAGGAAATGCATCATGAAGTAGTTTTGCTCCTATTTATCAATCTTCCAGAAGCCTTCCGAAAGAGGTAGAGCTTGCTCGAGTAGATGGTGACATAGGGGCCAGTGGTGCCGCTAGAGAGAGGGAGAGAGAGAAAGTAAAAGGCATTAAACAAGTCCTAGGTTACAAGTTCTTCAACATGGCTTGCGCGGATGATGAATAAGATGAATTGGTATGCTAGTCAGGGTATCACAACTTATAGTGGGGGTAAATAAATAAGGCAATTTAAAAAACTTTCTGACTTAAGTTTATTTATGCCTAATACGTGCAACTTATATGAATGTGATATGAATGAAATGCAAAAACAAAGAAAACATAGCAATAAAACCATAAAGTGCACCAAATTATATATTGGCTTCTTCTTAAGGATTATTTCGAGTCCACTAATGTCCTGGTCTCACAAACACATCATGACACCGCACTAGTTTTGGAAAATATGTGTTGCCAATAAGACTTGGTTGATTTTACAATCGCTATCCACTTGCTCTTATAATGAGAATTTTACTATGGCTATTCTTGACACCTCACCAAAGCTTTTACAACACCTATCCTCAACCACTTATGAGTTCTTGCAACAACTATCTTTGACCGCTCACGAAGGATATTTTTGTCTGTCCTCAACCATTTAGAACGTATCAATGATGAACAACATTTACTCTACAACCACCTTAGAGAAATACAATGTGAGAGCCGAAATGTCTGTTTTCTTGCAAGTTTCCACCACAAGGTGTGGTGGCAAACAAAATCTGGCTTTCATGCATGCATAATGCATATAGACAATCTCACTTGGGTGAGGGTTGTTCACACTGTCTTCTCCTAAGCAGGGATGCACAACGATGACAAAAGGACCCAAGATTTCTCTGATTTTTGAAGGTCCTTATCAACGATGCGGGGTACTAGGTGGATCAAGGAAACGACCGTGGTGAAAGCGAAATCAAAGAATTTTCGAGAAGGAGAGTAAGCAGGGTTTTATGCAGAGTATTTGGCGTGAATGTTGGCCGTTTCTTTGGTCCATTTAATTATTAGTAGTTTATGAATTTTAAATTTTTACCCATCATGTACTTTGGTAACCATTGCCTTGTTTGATGGAAAAAAGTGTCTTTTAGTAACCATCACCTTGTTTCATGGATGCATGTATATAAGGGCTTCATCCATATTCATTTGGGTCCCATTGCACAACACACAAAAGAAACATAATCCATCTCTATGTGGTGTTCGAGTGTGTGGAAGATCCGGCGATCGTTCATAAAGAAGAAGGATTCATCTTCACGACGAGATCTCCATTCGACGGTTCAAAAAACAATGGCTAGAGGTATTTCGATCCAATTTTGCTACGTATTTTATATCGATCAAATGATTTTCATTAAAAAATTTCTTACAGTGAAAGGTTCTTCACAGAGGAGATTCATACCCAGAGGAGAGTGCAAAGGATTTAGTGTAAAAAGCAAGAAGCGTTTAGTGGAGGAGATGACCTCCTTTATACGTGACCCAATGAATTGAAAGGGCAGTAAGTACAATCCCAATTACAACGTGATAACTACTCTCTAGAAGTGAAAGGCATCTAAATTTGAATAGTCTTTTGTACTTTCTTGTATGGCTTGGTTATAATAGGCTCAAACAAGAAATTAGAGGGCTTGTGATGTGTACATTAAGCGGTCATACACGTATGAAAAGAATAAAGCATGAAAATATGAGAGCTAAAGTAAGACTACGTGGTACATATTGTAAAAAGATGGTGAAAACTTGTCTTAGGTGCTTTGGAACAAATATCTTTGCGTGAATGACCTCATAACAAATATGATATGTAATAGGGTTCAATGACATCATTTGATTTATGTAGCCGGCCCCACCTACTTGGGGATAAGACTTTGCTGTTATTAGAAAAAAATGAGGAATTGGAAGAAACTGAAAAAATTTAAAAATACTGAAAGTTAATTTTTAATCCAAAATAAAGACCCTCTATTGGAGTCTCATAAAACATTCTAATTTTTTTTGCCCATTCCGGTAAATTTTTGTATTCTTCACCACAATCCCAATTGGGGGAAATAATTAGAAGCACTTTAATGCAAGAGTATAACATGTTAGATAAAAAGAAACACACTGATGAAAAGTATAATACGTTAAGGAATATGGAACATTACGGTTCTCATAACTTTCTACCAGTTGGGATGGAGTGAAGAGGAATATAGGTTATAAAAAATGTAACCAGTACATTTTGAATTTCCTGAATAAAGAACGAAATGTGGAAGAGGGTTATGAAAATTTGTAAAGGTTCTATTTGGTACCTCAGATCATGAACTTCAACTTGAAGACTTCAATTCCAATATTAATGTTTAATAGCACAAAAATATGCGTATTGAAAATTTAATCACAACACAAACTTTCCAACTCCGCAATTTCAATTCTATAGTAAACAAAAAAGAATTTGAAATCCAAATTTAAATTCTACATGTCAAAATGAAATCACATAGATAATCTTCGGATCATAACAAAGAAACGGGTCATATAGACTTTCGATGTATTACAAAAACAACTTTTCAATAAACTTTTGACTTCTTTGACAAATCAAAGAAACAAAAAAATTGCAAACAAAAAATTTAAAAACTTAAAATTTAAAAATATAAATTAAAAATTAAAAAAAATATATTAACTCTGAATTTAAAAATTAGAAACTAAAAAATTTCAAATTTAAACTTTAAATTTAAAATTTTAAATTTTAAATTTTAAATTTTAAATTTTAAATTTTAAATTTTAAATTTTAAATTTTAAATTTTAAATTTTAAATTTTAAATTTTAAATTTTAAATTTTAAATTTTAAATTTTAAATTTTAAATTTTAAATTTTAAATTTTAAATTTTAAATTTTAAATTTTAAATTTTAAATTTT